TTCGAAGTTCGTCAAGCCAATCAAGCTGGAGTTCGAGAAGGTCTACTTCCCCTACCTGCTCATCAACAAGAAGCGTTACGCTGGTCTCTACTGGACGAACCCGCACAAGTGGGACAAGATGGACACGAAGGGCATTGAGACGGTCCGCCGTGATAATTGCCGCCTGGTCCAGACTGTCATCGAAACTTCGTTGCGCATGCTCTTGATCGACCAGGACCCAGAAGGTGCCCAGGAGTAAGTCATTCCGCCATCTTCGCACTTTCGTCTACTAACATCGGATAGATTCGTCAAGGAGACCATTGCGGATCTGCTGCAGAATAAGGTGGACATGTCTAACCTTGTCATCACCAAAGCCCTGACCAAGCAAGAGAACAAGGACGGAACAGGTGGTTACGCCAACAAACAAGCACACGTCGAGCTTGCCGAACGCATGAAGAAGCGCGACGCCGGTTCAGCGCCTGCTTTGGGAGACCGTGTCGCCTACGTCATGATCCGAGCCGCCACCGGTGCGAAGAACTTCGAGAAGTCTGAGGATCCCCTCTTTGTCCTCGAAAACAACTTACCAATCGACACGCGTTACTACTTGGACAACCAACTGGCGAAGCCACTGGGCAGAATCTTCGAGCCTATCCTAGGCGAGAAGAAGGCAGCATCGTTGCTCACTGGTGATCACACGCGTTCCATCACCGTCGCGGCACCTACGATGGGTGGTTTGATGAAATTCGCCAAGAAGACATCGACATGCATGGGATGCAAGAAGCCACTTACCGCTGCGCATGAGAAGGACGGCGCCGTTTGTGAGAACTGCCGACCTCGTATCGCCGAGCTCTACACAAAGACGCTAGGCAAAGTCAGTGAGCTCGAGGTCCGCTTCTCACGTCTTTGGACCCAATGCCAGCGATGCCAAGGCAGTGTTCACTGCGAAGTCATCTGCGCATCCAAGGATTGTCCGATTTTCTACATGCGCATGAAGGCGAGGAAGGATGTTGAAGACGCAGGCAAAGAGCTTGTGCGTTTCGACAAGGACGCGGCGCTGTGGTGATTTAGTATTGTAACACCAGCAGGTGGTTAGTATGTGGTGTTTTTGGCGTTTCGATGGCATGGATATCCGTCTGTATAACTAAGGGGGCTCACTGGGCATGTTTAAGATGCGTAGCGATATTAGCATGTATACTTCTAAACGAATATTGTTGCAACCTTTTGTCGCATTGTTTGCATATCGCATTTGTTTCAGTGGAGATGCTGAAGCGCATTCAACCTTCCTCGATGCTTCGTCCTTGCTCATGGGCTGACTCTTAACCACGACAGTTCTTTCCCCATCTGGTGTTCCTTGCACATCGCCACAACACGACCTCAGTGCTTTGGACTTGGAATTGCAAAAGCATCAGCGCCACATGCCCTCGAAGCCCCTCGTCCCTCCACTACCAAACTCCTCCTGTCCACGCGCTTGCCCCTCATCCAGATCATGCGTCTCGCCGCTCTCCAGGCCAGCAACAAACATCTGAAAACTCCAGAGGAAGGTCTGGAAGAGCAAAATCTCTTTCTGCTGTCCGAGCAGTCTCGCAATGACCTCCTGTATCTCCTTGGAAGGCAGCCCTGCTGCTGCTGCGGACTGAGTCTTGAATGCCGTGTAGGCTACGACGTAGGCGTTATTTTGTGTGATGTAGAGGTCTGTGAGCATGACTTGGTGGGCGCGGAGAGTGGTGAGGAGGGTTGATGTGGGTTTGGTGTCTGGAAGCAGGGGTAGTGCGAGTGTGGGTGGGTGGTGAGCTGTGAGAGCTGGTATGCTGTCATGAAGATTGGACATGATTGCGGCTACCGTTGGGGGTTGAGGTTCGCTTGGAAGTTGGGGTAAGGCTCGGGGAGGCGGTGTTGGAGGCTCTTGAAGTTATGAATGTGATGGAGCTTGAGTAGAGGTCGTGAGTCACGGTGATGTGCGCAGTGAAAGGGCGGGAAATGCAAGATTATCTTCATCGTGTGGCCAAAATAACTCAGGCAGCCATGTTTATTCTCTAAAACATCGTCATAAAAACGTATGGTCTGCTAGATAGCCCATGACATAACCTTGGTGGACATTGATACTCGCGAACACCTAAAGCTCTTTATCGATAGGTGCCTGTAGTTTAAAGGTTGGTATCTTCCATCTTTCTGGTACACGGATCAGGATTTTCCCGTATCCTTCTAGGTCATTGTTCTAGATTTGAGCGACGATTGTTCTGCTCCAATGTAGTCGTGACCATGATGTGCTTGTTGTCCGCCGCAAGTGCTTCTTGGCTGCTTCGTGTGTCATCCCAGTATATGTCGTGCCCAGGACCCTTCTTTCTGCTACTGGTGATAGTAACAGCACTCAACTTGATCGCGTCTGGGCGGTTCGGGTCTGCCCCAGATCGGCTCACATTGTGTCGAATGTATCCATGCGTATCGTAAGAGACGTGAGGTGTATGGGCACTGCGGAGGAAAACAGCGAAAGCCGGACAACAACCAATACAGACAGCTACAGCTGACTCAATAATCGTCCAGAAAGCTAGCCAAGTTGGACTGGGTGATGTGTTATTCCCCGTCTTTAGGCCGATCTGTACAACACGCAGCGTGGCGAAAGCGATGCATACGAAGCCAGATGCGAACAGTGCGATGACTGCTATCTTCTGTGCGCGTGCCATTTGAAGATTCCAGACAAGGCGTATGGGGAGACACATAACTAGCAGCATTAATACGAACGTTGTACTGAGAAGGCAGGGGTCTAGAACATACTCATCAGGTCTGACAGGATATCAACACCGTAGGACATGTAAAGGCTCGCAAGCTGGCCACGAACGGCTCGAGGGCTGGCTGAGCATTCTCCTTTAAGGATAAGGGCGCCGAAATCAGGACAAGAAGTTGTGTAGGAAATGATGCAACCGACGAGAGACTACATAAGAGCTTTTAGTTGAGGCTGGAATGATAGGCAATGAGGCAAACTTACAATCATGCAGAACGCGAACACTGACCACCAAAGTCTTGTCCAAACACTTGGGAGGCCCTGCAGTAGCTTCTTGTATAGTGCTAACAGCGATAGCTTTACCGACCACAGTGCTAGCCAGAATAACGTAGTTGTTGCGAAGATATACCGAACGTAGATGACGATGTCGGATTGTATCGTTGGCCATGGCTGCAGTTGTCCAACCTGAACCTTTGATATCTGGTAGGTTTTAGGCATGATGACGAGGTAGCATATCGACATTGCAAGGAAGAAGGTGGAAGCCATGTACAGGAGATAGTCCTGCATCTCCATAGCTCTGCGCATCCACACCTGTATGCCGATGCGCGCAAGAATAAAGACTGAAGCAAATGCCACCATCACGTAGGCGGTCCGAAAGAACTCGGCCTCTGAGATGATTTCTCTGTACGTGGAAGGCATGGCTGGGTCTCTGACATTGAATGGTATGAACACCTGGATAACTTGTACAGCTCGAGAGGATGGAAGAGAAAGTGGTTTAGTTATCAGAGGCGAGGGGACGGTTGTAAGTTGCAGTCGCAAAACAAATAGCATTTCCTTTGCAATCATTCCATTCGTATCATACCCCAGTGATACCAACAATCCTGTTCTGCAAGCGCTGCCAACCTGCATAGGTCTGAAGGAGCAGATTCACATATAATGTGGCACGGTACGTTCATCCATCGTGCGTTTGTCGTACCGGAGGTTTGGGCACGGCTCGGCATGATATGCGATTTAGGGTGATCCCTTGGAACGAGCTTCCCACGGCTCATGGTCGCTTAGCAGATGGCTCGTCTAGACCGTGATCCTATGGTGGCGAGGTCTGATCATAGGTATCGTCCTGAAGCTTTGCTTCCAAACTTCGCATGCGGGGTCGCACCCGGGTGGCTCGGTTCGTACGTGTACAAAGCTGGAAAGTAAGCTGTGTAATGTTTTCCGGACAAACAATGCTCCTGGCACAGCAGATGTGTGTAGAAACATGGCGTGAACCAAGCTGCGGTCTGCGCCGCCTCTTGCGCTCAAAGCGACGTAGCTCAGCCACCACTTCGGACTTTTGATGAATGCGGGAACGTTGGTGCCAAGGTCAGGTCGTGCCTGCCGAGGCGGGCCTTACCAGCCGCCGAGCGGCATTGACGGAGACACCCTAGCCTCACTAGTGCACGTACACTTTGCAACCTCCACGACGCCAGTAGGTAGACTTCCATACCTTCCTCCACACGTAGTTGACAGCATTTGCAGACCTCTGTCTTCGACACTTACACTTCTTCCAACGATTTCAAGGTTGGCTCGAGTAGTACTGAGCCTCTGCGAACGTGCAATATAAGCGAAGGATGCTGCCCCACGCGAAGGATGCTGCCGCGTTACGGCGCAGTTATGCACGATGCACGATGACTGGACGAGGATTTCATCCGCTCACACCCAGGATTGATATTGGTCTCGGTAAGTAATCCTGTTCCGCGCCCCGGGGCGCAACTCAACTTTCGTTCGAGTAAGAAACGAAGGATGTGGTCTTCTCGCCTTCCAGATTTCGAGATGTAACGATACTGAGAACAATTACGAATGTACACAACGTTAATATACTACGAGAACGAGCAGCCTCCTACATGTCCCTAAAAGCCGAGGTCTACGTCTACACTGACAGATTCAAATGGTCCAATGAGATCAGGCCTAGTGGGGACAGGGTTAATCCCCCTTGTGATACACTGCATGCTGGCTTATCTTTTCTGAGACTGGTTGAATCTAGAAGACTAGAATCCCCAACAAAACTGTCGATTCAGGGCACAGTTTCCGCGGAGCCCCGGAATGTCGGATCCGCCGAGAAATTATATACGAAATTACAGAAATAAAAGGATGTGATTCCCTATCATCGGGTCACTGCCAACATCATTGTGGACTCTTCCCTGTCATTTCAAGGGGTCCTACCTGCGCGCTACACTTTTCTGTTGCATTCGTGTTGCATTCGTGTTGCATTCGGACAATTCTTTTCGTCAAGTCTCCGGTCGACCCAGCTCCTCTTATCGAAAGGATGAGATACGCCATCCCATCTGCTGCCTTGGTAGCTGGCGTTGTGTCACAAGCTACTTTCGAGCCCGCAGACTTCAATATCACGGAGGCATTGCTCGACAATGGTGTCAACGTCTCGGCTATACCTGAGCTTGCACCTCTGGTAGAGAGGTCGTTGTTGAGTGGCTGCTCCATTGCCGTAAGTGCTATTGATGCTTGGCTATTTTGGAAATTCACCGGCTTACCCCTCATCAGTGCAACTCTTTGAAGCTGATCTTTGGTGACGACCAAGTCGAGACACAGTCTGAGGCTGCGTATAGTGCATTTATCAATGATTACTGGTCGGGCCAACAAAGACAGATCTCTCCTCAGTGTGTCTTCAAGCCTGAGAAAGCTTTGGATGTCTCGACTTCCATCCTTCTATCTCGTCTTACGCAATGTCCTTTTGCGGTTAGGAGCGGAGGCCACTCAGCAGTGCCTGGCGGCTCAAACATCGAGGGTGGCATTACGATTAGCTTTGAGAAGATGGACAAGACTGTAGCATCTTCTGACAGGAAAAGCGCCACATTTGAGCCTGGCCAGACATGGTATGATGTGTACACGAAGCTCGAGAAACATGAGGTTACCATCATTGGTGGCCGAGTAAGTCAGACTCTAGCAGGAAAGAGAAGCGTGCCACTGACAATTACCCAGGTTGCAAGTGTCGGTGTGGGTGGATTAACTTTGGGCGGAGGTAAGAATCAAGATAACACGTGACAACTAGTCAGCATGCGGCTAAACTTCATCTACAGGCATCTCGTACTTCTCAAGCATGTATGGTTTGGCATGCGACAATGTCATCTCATACGAGCTGGTCACTGCTTCTGGGCTTATCATCAACGTCAGCCAGAAGTCCTTCCCAGACCTCTACTGGGCTCTACGAGGGGGTGGCAACAACTTCGGTATCGTCACGAAATTCAACGTCAACGCTCTTCCTAGAGCGCCAACCATGTGGGGTGGTATGCGAACATATCTCTCGACCGAATCCGATGCTCTCATCAAGGCATACTACAATCTTGGTATGAACGCAAAGAAGGACGGCAAAGCCCACCAAATTCTGTCGTTTGGCTGGGGTGGAGCTGAACTCGGAGAGGTTGCCCAAGTTGAACTTGAATATGCGGATCCTATTACCGACGCACCAGTTCTTGCCGAGTACAACAGCATCAAAGGAGCGATTGCAGACGCAACCGGAATCAACACTCTCGCAAACCTTACGGCGATCTTGGAAGGCCCCGCCAGCGGTGCAGGTCTTCGACAGGCATTCTGGACCTGGACGACCAAGCTCGACGTGGAAATGGCCACTGTGACTAAGGATATCTTCTTTGAGGAGATTACCGATGTGCTCGACGCAGCGGATCTACTCCCCGCTGTTTCGCTCCAGGTACTTACCGAGCCTATCATTGAGCAGGGTGCCACTAAGGGAGGTAATGCGCTTGGGCTCGATCCAAAGGAAGGACCCCTCATGTTGGCTCTCGTTGCCATGAAGTGGTCCAACAGTGCGGACGACGACAGACTGCAAAAGTTCGCCGCGCGCGTCAAGGACCGCTGCGTAGCCGCAGCCAAGGCCGAGGGCAAAGCGACCGATTACCTGTACATGAACTACGCCAGCCCATGGCAAGATCCCGTTGCCGGTTACGGTCCCGCGAATCAGGCTAAGTTGAAGGCCATCTCCAAGAAGTATGATCCTACTGGCGTGTTTGAGGTTCTCCAGCCCGGCTACTTCAAGCTCAACGGCCCACCACGGGACGATTTGTAAATGATCTGGTCATTCGTATCTTGTACATGTACATAGTACCCGCATTCAAAGCTTCATGTTTTACATCGGATCTGCGCACATGCCCAATTGTTCTGCTATGTTGACTGTCTACTTTCCTGCTTACTTCTCATCTTTTGTCCCAATGTCATCACTGCCGATTGCCAGACGGTGACGATCATCGTAGGCTAACTGAAGATACCAGATCAGCATTGGGTATGACTGGCCTTGAGAAAGAAGGTTGAATGGTGGTTGCTGAAGTGGCAAGGACGTCGATACACCGAAGTGAAAGTGGCTTCACGTGACATCCTTTTTTGTCAACATAACCGCAGCCTGCCTCATGCTGGAGGCCTTCTTTTGGATTCTTTGCATCTTGCAGTGTCTCATGCTGATACGTTCAGCAGTTTTGGAGCCATTGCAACATCAGATAATCTGCAGAAGCGGTGTGCAGCCGCTCAGTGAGCGCCCGTAAACGCGCAACAACGCGAAAATTTGCTAGACCCTTTTTCTTTTCGCAACGATATCCCACATGTTCTCAAGTCACAAAGCTTTTCGTTCGCCCATTACCTGCGTCTTCCCAATCGCATCCTCACAATCGTGCCCACCGCTGCCGCCCGATCAGTCAGTACATCAACAAGCCACCTCCGAAGCTGTCGCCACCAATTTCGGTCCCTCAAGACACCATGACGTCGCATTCCCGCCTGCCTCCCGCCGACCCCGCCCTCGAAAACGAGAAGCTGGTGGTGCAGCTCAAGCTCGCGCGCGATGAGATCGACGGACTGAAAGCTCACAACAACAATCTCGTCCAGTGTCTGCTGGAGAGCGAGCGAGGATTTGCTCGTCTCAAGGCGCTGCACGAGAAGGGCAGCAAGCGCAAGCGCGAGGACTTGCCGTCGCCGTTTGAGGAGGGTCCAGATGCGGACGAGAGCGCATCCAAGACGGAGGAGGGGTATCGGCCCAAGTTCTTTGAGAACTTGGTCTGTGGTATGTCGAAGCCGCAGGAGGAAAAGGATGAGGAGGAGAAGCCTCGTAAGAAGGCGAGGACTCGTCGCAACCGTCCCGCGAGGTGAGTTATATCTACTACGTCATTCTTTCATTTTACTAACATGTCAATAGGGACAAGCCTTCCACCAATGTCGAGGCGGATACGTCCAGGGACGAAGTCTACGATACTGCTCTGTCAGTGTTAGTATACTTGCCGAAGAAACCGTATGTTTGTCTAGGTCCTTCATATGACGTCGCTAACATTTGCAGGGTCGAGAACATAGCTGACTCCATCCCATCTCCCTGGGGCTGGAAGGTCCTAAAGCAGCGCCTTGCTGTATGCATCCGCTGCTTCGAAAACGACAGGCGGTGTGACTCCGGGGAGCCATGCCAGAGCTGTCTGAAGAACCGTGCCAAGTGCCAGCGGGCAATGTGTGCCAACTACAAGGCTGGCACTTGTTTCGTCCCAACTTGTACAAGGGCACATGAAGATGACGAGCGGAAGTACAAGAACATTGTACACGCGGGTCATGTGAGCAAGAAGGACATGGTGGCCGGACCCCAGGATATCTGAGAACGCATGAGGGAGCGTGGAGGTCGTCAGCTCGACCACGGAGATAGAAGACACCATCCCTGAACCAATGTAGCCACAAACGTCATCGTAGAGAACTAGGTTTGATAGCGTAAAAGTACCCGAAGGACAGCACACCTCACCATATCATAACTTCCAAAGCCTCATAATACAAAGTAGCCATTATAAAGATCCCATCAACCCAGCATACTCCTCTTCCTACCCCTCAATCTAACCCCTTCTAACCTCTTTAGTACACCCCTAGCCCCCTTCCCACACTCCCCATACGCCTTGAGCACTTCCTGGAACAGCGGTTCCGCAGCGGGATGTGTTGCCGAGAACGCCCTCTCAAGTACGTACAGATCAACAGCCTTGTCCTCGTCTTGTATGCTAGCAGTCGTGAGACCGAAGTCGATGAGGAAGATGTCGCCAGCTAGCGAGTTGGTGTTGGACTGTTGCGGCGGGTCCGCAGGGGGGAGGTCTGGAGGTTCTTCGCCGTTCATGGCTGCTTCGCGGAGTGTGCTCGTTGTCTGTTTTCCGCGTGGTATTCGTCGTTGTGGTTGTTGTGCTGGAGTGTCTTGCCACTTGGGTGTGCGTAACATGATGTTGCTTGTTGTGAGGTCACCGTGGCATACTCCCAGTTCGTGCAGCTTGCCTACTTCGCGTCCGACTCTTCGCATCAGGTCTAGTATCTCTTCCTGTCCTTCTTGCGCTTCTGCATTGCTACTCGCAGCTGCATCTCCTCCCCCAGTCTCCGCGTCTTTTTTCTCTTTTCCCTTCTGTGTTACTTGATGTGCCCACCCATCCAACACTTTCCTCACAGTCCTGCCATCCACAAACTCCAGCACAAGCCATCCCGCATCCCAGTCCGCGCCAATCACCCCCGGTACATTAACGCCATCCCTCTTGACCCTTATAAGACTTCGTGCCTCGGCTAGTAACCTCTGCTTTGTAAGGCGCTTGTCTAAAGTGGGATGTCTGTATGGCTTCGGTGGCCGGTATTTGACGACGACGGGCGTATGGGGGGTGAGGAAAGTGGTCTTGTATACAAGGGCCTCGGCGCCTTGTGTTATGATTTCGAGCGCATCCTGAGAGAAAGGCGCGGGGAGCGTGTGGAGGGGACGCGACGTTTCGGGCGGTGGTGGGGGTTCGATTGGAGGGACGACAGGCGGCTCGGCCATTGCTGTGTGGTTTGTGTTGTTAGGCGTACTTCGCGGCGACGTGTTCGTTGTGTATATGACCAGAAGATGACGCGTTGAATACGTAGGGCGTAGGCGAGTTCGGGACGTGTGGTGTCAAGTGGAGATATTTTGGTGTTGACATTTGAAGCTTCGCAGTTGCCCCGCGATGCGACACCAGCCTTCAGCCCTGTCACGCTTATCGATTCTTTAGCTTCAACACCACGCGAGCATCTTGTCGATCACCGTTCAACGGCCATGGCCACACTACAGTACCGAAATTAGCTTTTACCCTGACCGAGTCGCTGTAGAGCACAGATGGAGATTACTTCTCCGGATTTGCAGATTCATTTCATGAGATTGCAAACTGTGTCACGGACATACAAGGGTTGCTGCTAGCCAGTGCCTGACTTTCTGGGGAAGGTAGCCCTTGAGTCAAATCATGGGCCTCGTCTCACAATTGAATAGCGTTCGTTTTGAAAGCGAGTGTGATTGCATTTAGGTATCTCATCCTACATGATCCACTCTTCCTTGTGCATCGCCTGGTTGCGGCGGTAGCGAATGGATTTGGTCAAAAGCACAGTATCTTCCAAAAAACAATGGTAACACAGAACTGAAGCCCTAAGAAGGCAGTGAGCTCCAGCCACAGGCCATTGAGCTCACGTCCATAAAGCATATCCCAAATCGCCCGCCCAAATCGCCGGGCCAAAAACCGTAGAGCGTTCCCGCCATGCTCATTAAAAGCAGTTCGCATAAGAGTCTGGGGAAACAAGAAGAAGGGGTGGAAAAGGAGATCTTCCCAATGGGCAAGAGACGAATGGTAATCGTGATATTCGAAAGATGGCAAAAGTGACCTTGGTCAAGTGCAGCAAACAAATGAACTAACAAACAAGGAAAGGTTCGTAATGGGCCGTAACAAGAGGCGTCCGGAGAGCGCCACAGTAATATGCACAGGGGAAGAAACTCCCAGTTTTTCTTTCCAATCCGTGGTTGATAGCTTAGAACACGGTGCTCTTGCGCTTCTCAGCGCTGGTAAGAACAAGCTTGGGCATGCGGCGTTGGCCAATCTCCTCGGGACGGATGTCGACCAGGCCGCCTCCAACGGAAGCACCGTCATCGCTGCTGACACTGTTGGCGGTGTAGGAGCGGTTGATGGAGTTGTCGCGAGAGCGCTCCTTGGAGGCCTTGCGCTCTGAGCCAATGGCGCCGTTGGCAACAGCGCGGAGGCTGCCGATGCTGGGCCTGCCCGAGAGGCTGCCACTTCCTCCGCTGCGAACACTGTCGGAGTCGTTGTCGGACGAAGGGAAGTGGTCGCTGTCTGGCGAGGCGCTTCCGCTGCCGGTACGGTGAGCGCGGCGGCCGATTCCAGCTCGCACAAGGTTGCCCACGGCCTGGCGGCGTTGACGAGTAGCAAAGTTCTTGCTGCCCTCATGCTTGGTAGTGGGACGCTCCTTGAGTTCCTCGATGGAAGGAGGGTTGCGAGGCTGACGGACTGGGTGCTCTCCAGCGCGTGCTTGACCAGGGCCGAATGTGCCAGTCATCGGGGTGGCAGGGAAGCCGACCGGGCGGGTGAAGGCAGAGCGAGGACCCTCCTCGGCCTTGCCATCAACAGCAAGAGAAGACAGGTTCTTCTTGTGGCCGCGACGGAAAGCGTTGGCAGATGGCGGTGGGAGCGGGACCACATCCTGGGGTGGGGTGTTGGACTTCTTCGGCGGAGAAGTGCTGCGCGAACCCCAAGGGCTGGGGTTGCTCTCGTTGGGAGGAGAGACGTGGAGCACTGGGGTATCAACCTTGGGCGGCGAAGTCGCGAAGCGGGGAGTTGGCGGCGGCGGAGAGTGCGACAGACCCGACATGCCATTCTGAGCCTGCATGTCGCCGTTGTCCTGCTGGTAGCTCGGGTCAACGACGTACTGGTACTGGCCAGTCATCTGGTTGAAGACAAGGTAGACACCAGGCTGGTTGGTCTCCTGGATGGCAGCGGTGTTTCCAAACTGTTGACCGTAGGCGTTCATCTGAGGGGTGTATGGCGTGTTGGGGTACTGCTGTCCACCGCTCATGTTCATGTTGCCGAACTGCTGGGTCGTCAGAGCAAGGAGTTGCTGCTGGAGCTGCTGCTGCCTCTGGGCGAGGTAGAGCTCGGTAGCCAGGAGCTGAGCCGCAACGTTGGGGTCCATCTCGCCGTCATCGAACTCGAATTGGGGAGGGGCCAGGACCTGGTTGTAGAAGTCGGGCTGCTGCTGTTGCTGCTGGTACTGGTTGACACCGCTGAA